AGAGGGAAAAGGTACAGGGGGTGTAGTCCAGAAAAAAACCAACAAGGCTTCCAGTTGTTTGCTTTTTCTGGAGTCCCTATAAACAACACTTAATTCTCCCCCACAATGTAACAATGTGGCAATGTGAAATCATGTGCAAAGCATTGCCAACCATGGTACCCAAGCTTTGGTGTCCAGGGTTTTTATTAGCCTGCAGCAAAATATTATTCTGACAATACAGTAGATACAGAAAAAAGACTGTGATTTGGGACACATTTTAAGAAACCAGGCTAAAAGTATGGGTGTGCTCCTTGTGCATGGGTCTAAGGTAGCTACATATAAGCAATGAGGAGAGGGGAAATGGGAAAGAGAGGCTTGTCCGAGGATAAATACAAAAGGATAGCATTTAATAAATGTCAGGATGGCCGAAACCCAGCATAACATGAGGCTTGACAAATAATCTGATGAAGATTTAAAAGGCCATTTTTAGCTACATTCAGAGTTTGAAGAAACAAGCTTCTTGTTTGGGGAAGAAAGCTTTGGTGCTAAGAGATGGCAAAAAGAAAGCAAAACTCATGGCCTATAATGTTCCCTTTTTCTGCCTGAATTGTGAAGGACTTGTAGTTGTCCTTTTGAAAACCAAGAAGGTCAAAAGAGAGATGTCAAAAAATTAGAAATGAGCAAATGTGCACATTTTTTAAAAATGGGGGGAAAATAGATTTGGGAAACTATAGAATTTAATATTGATATAAATCTAAGTTAAAATTCTAGAAAAGAGTATTCAGAATAGCTTATGAGCAATTGGAAAAGAGACAGTCACTAGGAGCCTCTCTGTTCACTATGGCTAAGTCTTGCTAAACAAATCTCATTTCCTTTCTTAATCAGGTTACTAAAAGAGAATATCTGGCGAAATTGGTGTATCTTGATTTTGGCCAACACTTTGCCAGAGTCTCAGGATATCCTTATGGACAAGCTGGAGAAATATGAGTTACAAAAAAAAAAAGAAAGAAAGAAATATGAGTTAGAGGACATCGCATTAAATAGATTCTCAGACACTTGAATCAGAAGACTTAGACCTATCAGCTGGATTCTATTGCATAAAGATATAGATGGGATTTTACAAATTTGTAAATGACACAAGCATATCAGGTGATTGAGTCAAGATTCAGAGACTTTGGGGACTCGAGACAGGTCATATCAACAAGATGGTACTTTAAAATAATAAGGAATCGGGGTGCCTGGGTGGCTCAGTTGTTAAGTGTCTGCCTTCAGCTCAGGTCATGATCCCAGGGTCCTGGGATCAAGCCCCGCATCGGGCTCCCTGCTCCATGGGAAGCCTGCTTCTCCCTCTCCCACTCCCCCTGCTTGTGTTCCCTCTCTCGTTGTGTCTCCCTATGTCAAATAAATACATAAAACCTTTAAAAATAATAAGGAATAAAAAAATTTAGAACAAATTTTGGGTGCCTGGGTGGCTCAGTCGGTTAAGCATCTGCCTTCAGCTCAGGTCATGATCCCAGGGTCCTGGGATGGAGCCCTGTTGTGAGGCTCCCTGCAGCAGGGAGCCTCCTTCTCCCTCTCCCTCTACCCTTCCCCCAGCTAGTGCACTCTCTCTCTCATAAATAAATAAAATCTTAAAAAAAAGAGAACGAATTTTAAATCATCTCTTTCTTTTTTTATTTTTTATTTATTTATTTATTTTTAATTTTATTATGTTATGTTAGTCACTATACAATACATCATTGGTTTTTGATGTGGTGATCCACGATCCATTGTTTTCGTATAATGCCCAGTGCTCCATCATCTCTTTAGGGATGTTTATATGTATGTGTGTGTTGGTTGAAAAAGTTCATGGGCAAAAAGACCTAGTTGGGAGTGTCAGGTGAACAAACGTTTGATGTTAAACCAAATATGTATGATATGCTTTCATTTATTCAAAAAATGTTATGTGGCTGTCATGAGAGTAAATTCCATCTTAACTTGCATTTAAAAGTGTAGAATCCCAGTCCAGGACAGTGATGGTGCTGCCAACACTACAGTAATGAGAGAACATTTGGGTACTCTGCTCAGTTTTCTGTGAGACACCTTGAGAGACAGAATTAGCATCTAAAAGAGGCCCCCAGGGCACGAGGGCTGGAAACCATGTGGTAACAGGGAGATAAGGATCTGTGAAGGTTGGTCATCTTGAAGAAAGACTAAGCAGAGATGAGAAACCGATCTTTAAATTTGTTAAGGGCTGTTATCTGGATGTTTTCATAGACATCTGTTTCGTTCCTTAGGCAGCCAAAGTTACGGGGTTAGTAGCTATGAGTTATGGGAAATTGTGTTTCAGCCAGTTTCTTGCAGCGTGTCAGCTCCTTTATCAGACCTTAAGCATACGGAGATGAGCAGGACCAGATCACTTTCCTACAGACTGAACAATTCATAAATTCATTATTCTACAGAGAGAAGTGGCTCGATATGCCCTGGCTCTTGCAACAGTGAGACTCCTTTGAGAGCCAGATGCCCCTTAATGCCTTGAGCTCCTGTCTCTGGAACACAAAGACAAAGGAAAGACATTCAGGTTCTGTTTGAGGGTCTGAGGCTGGGCTGATGGTATCTGGACCTAGATGTGGTGTTCTGGTAGCCACTGAGAACCAAGACCCGTGTTTTACCAGGACAGGTAAAGAAGGTTGTTTAAGGAGAGTCTGAACTGTGTTGAAGGAGAAAAGCAGAAGTTCAAAGTCAGGAAAGTGTCCCTGAGCATCAGATACACAAGAGCCAAAAACTGACAACAGGAGGACAACTCAGGAGTCAACAAAAGGGAGAAGCAGACATAATCAGGAAACACAGTGTGAGACTGGTTAAAGCCAGCAGTCTGGAATAGCGCTTGGCAATGGTGTCAGCAGTCAGGGGCTGGTAGGAGCTCTGTGGGACCAAGTGCACTTGGGCCTGAGTCAGACAGGAGTAGTCTAAAGGCTGCACCACCATCTGTCAGGGATGTTAGAGAAGGGATTTGTGCCAGATATCCTCTACTTGCCTCTCCCCCTCTTCACTCCACCCTTCTCCAACCTGCTCTAGGTCCAGGAAGTGGACTTACATAACTTGCATCAGTGGGATCCTTGACCTCTGGATCTGATTTGCTTCTGCAAACTGGAAGCCCCAGTTAGAGATTGGAGTGGGGAGGAGAATAAGGTGTGGATATTCCTGCCCCCTGCCTGCCTCCCTACAGGGTCCCCTTGGGATTTCTGTGTTCCTAGGCTGAAGGTCGCAGCTCCTCTTAAGATGTCTCTGTGTATACGGCTCTCTCTTCCAGGATCTAGTAGCCACTCCCTGCCCTCCTCCCTTGAAACCTAGAGCTGGTAGCAGTTCCAGATATACTAGCTCTGGGGTACTGCACTATCCCTTGTGGCTCTCCTACAACTTGCCCACCCCTTTATGAAAATAATTTATTAAACTCTTCTTGAATCATCCTAATGTGAATATGTCATCTGTTTCTTGGTTGTACCTTGGCTGACACAGGATTCTGGATTGCGTGAGAAGATGAGTTAAATTATTTCAAAAAATACTTACATTCTGTGGTTCTGGATTTCTTATCACTGACCTTATATGTTGGTAGACCCAGAAGTGATGCAAATTAACTTTCTATACCTAGAAATCCACAATAGGTACTTTTGTAGTGGATAGGAACTTCACCTAGAGACTTGTGAGGCAGTTTAGCCATGTAAGCTATACAATTTATTATTTTTTTAAGAATTCATGTTATCAGGATGTCTGACAGTATTTTTCAGTTGCTCTCATTGCGTCTGCAGGGTCAGATAACATCTTTACCACGTTATATAAAAGGGCCAAAGGAAGCTTTCACTAGCCAAGCAGAACATTGGCGAGGTCATGAAAGAGCCATAATTAATCTTAAATATCTCTCATAGACAAGCTACTAAGCATACTGTGACCCTTTCTGGGAAGATTGAATGGTTGAGGCTCTCCGAAATGATGCTAATTCAAGGATGTCCCAGAACCTCAGGAAAAGAAGGAAGAGCCTATATAGTCTACATGACTTCGAACTGTGATTTCTGAGTCTCGTGAGCCATAGAAAACATATTGTCTTCTGACAATGCAGATCATTTCCATTTGACTCTGAATTGAGGGTTTTGTTGTTGTCACTTGGGTGGACTTTATGTAATCTTACTTCTAAAGAGTCTTTATCTTTTAGAAATACGCAGTGAAACCTTATGAAACGGTATGACTGAACTTTGCTTCACAATAATCCAGAAAGGGGTGGGGGGAGAGATAAAACAAGATTGGCCATGAGGTGATGGCTGCGCAAGTTGGGTGATAGAGACGTGGAAGTACATTCTACTCTTCTCTCTGCTTTTGTATGATTTAAAAATGATTGGATATTAAAAAGTAAATAGTTAATTAAAAAGTTGCTGCTTGATACAGGAAAACTCATTTATTATTGCTTGATGCCACTGATCTCATGAAGAAGTTCTGTGGGTAGGATTCAGGAGTATCATAGGAAAAACATGTTGAAATAAATGTAAATGAAGAATGCTATTTTTATGAAAGTTTAATGAAATTGGGCTCAATGGAAAATATCCAGATGATGTTCAGAATGTACATTTAGAATATTCTTTCATGAATTGAGAAGGAAAGCAAACAAAAATACTACATTCATGTTTTAAAATATACTTTATATGGACTTTGCTTCTAAATAACTTGGGATGAGGGGGAACTGGGTGAGGTTGCAGATGAAGCAAGATTGACCATGAGTTAATATTTGTTTAATTGGGGGAATGGTCACATGGCAGTTTGCTATGCTATTCTTTCTACTTTTATATATGCTTTACATGTTCTATAGAATAGTTTTTAAAAATAAAACATATACTGCACATCTAAAATGTGACCATTTACATTGAGACAGTATTAACTTTTATGATTTAATGAAATGTAATATTATGCTATTTCTCTTCCTCCTCCTTAGACTTTGCCTTTTCTAATATATTACTGTTTGTTCATTTCTCTCCTCTTTCCCCATGCCTTAGTTTTGTCTGTTATATGGAACCAAGCTGGTGTTCCAGGAGCGAGCCTGGTATCTAGAACATAAATTTTTGACTCCCATGGCCAGCACGAGGATTAGGAGTCAGGTAAGGGTCCCTGGTGTGCGGAAGAAACCTTTTGTGCATCAGCTGTCAGCTCTTTGCTTTCTTAGAAAACAGCTGTCAATCTTTTATCGGTTTCCACTCATGGATTTTTATGCCTTTGGGACTTCATATACATGTTTTCATTGCCTACCATGATCATATTACACTTCAGAGTTTAAGTGACAAGGAAGTGATTCACTGTGTATGAACTTTCTGACATGAAAAGCAGAGGAGGGAATCAAAAGCATTTTCTTTGTCTTGGCAAAAAAGAAATGTATTAAGTGATTTTCATTTTTCTACTTCTTACCAAAATCTATTAACTCATTCTTCATATTCAGAAAAAAAGACCTGTGGTATTTTTAGGTCAGAAGTAGTGATGGAAATTCAATGTGAAAGTGACAGAACACCTGAAAATGAAGATAGAGTCAGTGAATCACCACCAAAATGCTGCTCGAAAGAAAAAAATATATAAAATAGCATAATCATCTACAAAACACGCTTTCTGAGTGTTTTCTGAGGGGCCTGTCTTCCAGGCCCTCCGTTAGATGCTATAACATAAACAGGTATATGCTCAGTCTCTGCATTCAAAGGAGCTTATTATATATGAGGACACAAAACTGACTTTAAAATGCAAATAACAACACAAGGGAGCAGAGACTTTCCAGGGAATAATTCCAGAGTTCAGAGGACAGAAATCACTTAGGAGCGAATGTCATTCTTGTACTAGACCTTCAAGAGTGGAAAATTCCAACAAAGTGGTGGTATGATTGAAGAGGGGGTAATGCAGGTGAGGCTTCAGACAGAATTGGTGAAGTGAGTAAAATCATAGAAATGGGAGTACTTGGGACAGACATGTTAAGAAACAGCGAGAAGACCAGTTTGGCTGACATCTCAAGTGGAAACCTGGAGAAATCTGCAGGAGCCAGGCTGAGGTGGACACTGAAGAAACCTTGAAGAGTCTTTTTCCTTTTCAGGAGAACAATTATTATGAAGAAAAGCATATGCAAAGATGTTTCAGTTATCTGTTGCTATGTAACAAGTGACCCCAAAACTTAGTGGCTTAGAACATCTAGTTATTATTTCTCACAATTCTGCATCTGAATGGGGCTCAGCTGGATGGTCTCCTGGGGCCTGAGGTGTCTGCTGGGTTCTTCACTCTCCTGGTGGTAACCTCAGCTGGGGTGGCAGGATCATCTGGGGGCTGCTGGGCAATTGTCTCCTTTGGAGTGGCCGGATGTGGGCTTCCTCACAACACAGTAGTGTCAGGAGGGCTGACTGTTTTATATCATGACTGGCTTCCAGGGAGGAAGTGGAAGATGCCAGTCATCTCAAGGCTCAGCCCACTGTTAACACAGTGTTACTTCAGCCGCATTCTGTTGGCCCAAGGGAGCCCCAAGGCCAGGATAGATTTGGGCAAGAGAAGAGACTTCACCTCTCCCTGTGAAGAGCAACATGCACATATAGGGAAGGAAAAATTGATGGCAGCTATCTTTGGACACTGACTACGTTCCACAAAGAAAATGCCCACTTTGGGGAGAGGAAAAAAAAATACTGTTAATTAAAAAAAAAAAAAAAATGAGCTACATGAAGGAAGATTTTAAATCCACGTGATTAAGTATTTCAGTGACATAGATGAGATAAAAAATCCATCAAAAGAATGTTGAGTAAAAGACACCAACTTTCACATATAACATTGAAGTGCTTTTGTATTCTATTAGTGCAACAAACTTTGCACACTTTTCATTTCCTAGAGACTCGTAGCAGCCTGGGAGATAAGCAGGGAGCAGCCAGACATTTTGGAACAAACTTTGTGGGGCTAGAGGTGGGTTGTTGAGACCTATAGGACGTCTCAAGGCCGTCTTTTGCAGATCTCAGTGCTGCCGACCATGAGCACTCACCCCTTCTCTGGGCTTTCCCAGTATTCCCAGAGGGAAATGTGTAGTGTAGCTGGCACAAATGCTCTACCGCACCCCTTTGCAGGGATTTCAAGGTTTCAGAAATGTTATTAGCAGCTTCTTTTCACTAAAATGTCTGGGACCCTTGGCCAATTAGAGGTGCTTAACAGGAGTGGGCTTGTGAGAGGGTGAAAAGGGGACAGGGATGATTAATATTACTGAAACTGATCTAGATGCTTTCACATGATAACTCTTCAAGTTTACTGATTCTTTCTTTCTTTAGGTGCATCTAATGGGCTGGTTAATTCATCCCCTAAATTTTTGATCCTGTTTGTTAGGATTTTTATCTTAAAAAAAATTCTTTTGGTTTCTGTTTTATATCATCTATATAACTTTTTAGTTTCTTATCCCCTAAAGATATATTCAATTTTGTCTTTGATTTCTTTATGCATTGAAGCATAGTTATTTTATAGTCTATAGCTAATAATCCCAATATCTTAAGACTTCAGCAGTCTATTTCTTTTTGTTTATTATTTCTGCTTTGTGTATAGTTATCTTTTAATATGTGCTGGTCATTGTTATTGAAAAAATGTTTTGTGAGATTTACATGAAGGCCAAATTGAAGGCACCTTCTTCCCCTTATAAAGCATCTGAAGGTGCTCTCAGTTTAAGACCCAACTTAAACCAAACTCAAGACTTGAGGTTTCCTGTAAGACTCGGAGAGTTCAAATAAGAGCAGTAATTTCTTCACCCTCCCCCAAGGTTATAACTGTTTGGTATCCAGCTTATTATAGCAAGGGTCTCTATTAAATTTCTTGCCTAGTGCTGGCCCTGGTTTTGACTCTCATCACCCCTACTGCCATCCCAGCCACCATGAGGCTGTCAAGTGAAAATTCAAAATTGCTGGAGATAGCAAATGCCTTCAGGGTAAATGCAACTTTTTTACTTGTTTATTTTCTTTGGTTCCCACTTTCCCATAATTTTTGCCATTATTATTTTGACAGATCAGTGATACTTTGAAGAGGATTCCTATATTTTCTCTAAGAATTTTGGTTGTTTTCAGCAGAACGGTTAGGGGAAAAAATCTAGCTCTTGAGTATCAGAAACAGGAAGTTCCTTCAGTGTTATACCACTTGACTCCACAACAGCCCTGTATGTCATTTTCGTTATCCTTACACACAGATGAGGAAATGGAAACCCAACATGGCAAAGTAACTTGCCCAAAGTAACATAGCTAGTGAAAACCCATATTTCTCTGACTCTAAACATTTTCATTTATTTTATTTGGATAAAAATCAGCATTAGCTAGTAACAACAAATACACCCAGTGTCCAGTTCTTGGTTTCTAATACCATTTTCCATTAACAGGAAGCAGAGTCCTTGGAGAAATGGTTGATTCTAGGACTGGGGCAATGAATATATAAGATGAGCCTGGAGCATCTTTCAGTGCTAGAAAGTGAGAAAGTGCTCCAAACGAAAACAAAAACAAAATACCCCACGATTATGGGGTTATGCCAAAGGGACACTGGAAGGAGCTAACTGAAAGAGCTCCTAATGGCCAAAGCTGGAATAATTTGAGCAAAAAAATAAATAATGTAGCATTGGATTATAACCCAAAGTGTAAAATAATTAAACAGAAGTCCATAATGATATAAATAAATGATTAAACAGATCCATAAATGGAGTAAAAGAGACCAATCTTTCTTACTAATGTATGTAGATTCTTCCCCCTTCCCCCTTCCCTTCCCATGTGGGTTGGACTCGGTGATTTTCTTTCATTTTAAAGAACAGAGCATTGAAAGGGAAAACAGTCACTTTACAGTGGAACAGTCTGGCAGATCCCACCTTAACCAAGCGCATAGGGTGAATATCACCAGTAATAAGTTGTGTTGACGACATGCACTTGTAATATTGTATGGTGAGAAGAGCAGTTCACTCTTCCCCAAATCCATAACCCCAATCCAATCATGAGGGGAAAAAAATGTCAGACTGAACCAGATGGAGGGACGGTCTGTATAAGACCTACAATGTCCTCCTCAAACTGCCAGTGCATGAAAGACAAGGAAAAACTAAGAAACCAACACAGACCAGAGGAGATTAAGGAGACATGATGACTACAAGCAGTGTGGTGTCCCGGATTGAGTCCTGGAAGAGAAAAAGGACATTGCTAGAAAAACTGGTGAAATCCGAATAAATCTATAGTATGTTAATATTAATGTACCAATATTGACTTCTTAGTTTTTTACAATGGACCATAGTTATATTAGGTGTTAAGAGAAGAATTAGAAGAAACTGGGTGAAGGACATGTGGGAACTCTGTGTGTTATCTTTGGAACTGTTCCTTAAATCTAGAAATATTCCAAAATAAAAGTTTATTAAGAAAAAAAAAAGCATCAGGGAGTAGCAATCAGCCTGGGCTGATTGTAAATAATAAAACTTCAGAACACCCAGGAGTTATGCTAAAACTCTAGGCTAATGATAATTAGCAATGCATGCATTTATGCTAAAAGAGAACAAAATTTAATTTCATTCTCATAAAGATCTTCCAGGTAAGTAAGGCTGGTACAGTCCCCACTCAACAAATGAGTAAAACTAAGAAACAGAAAAGCTAAACGACTGCCCAAGATCCTAGCTGAGCGTAGAAACCGGAACTCCGAACTCCAAATGGAGGTGGATGAAGCATCATCCTGCTTGTCTGCATGGAACACTACAAGACCTGAGTTCAAAAGCTTCACAGAGGCCTGCCTGGTGTCCCAGACAGAGTAAAATCCATCCACATATTGTAAAGGCAGCACAATTGCCCCATTGTCCAACTGAAGCCCACAGGAGAGGGGGTTGGGTTGGGGTTTGTTTTCTTTTTAAACTCAAGTATCTCCCCTACAGCCCTTCCTAGCTGTGACAACTAGCTCCTCTCTTTTGTCTGGAACTTGATTGTTGACAGAGCTCATCCACATTCATTATCCTATGTAATCCCCACAAGCACCCATTAGTGTGAATAGCTGTTAATCCACTTTATGGATCAGGAGTCTAAGGCTGATTTGCTGCTGGTTTAAGGAGTGGTAAAGGTGAGGCTTTTGGACTCTAGGACACTGTTGCTCTCAGGTTCCC